GTTTATTACATTGTTAAGAAGTCTTTCAAAACCAAGTCCGGTGCCTGTTCCATTTTACTGCCTCCCAGTTCAGCAAAAGCTCCTCCAGGCTTTCCTAAAGGCTTTGTGGATGGTAGCCAAAATCATCTCCTGAAGACACGAAGTGCTCTTGTGGTTATTAGCAAAACCCCATTATGTTGCAGAGCATCCCAGATGATCTATATTTCTAGAAATCACTTTCCTGCGCTCACGGCGTTGACAATTCGATGAGAAAACACTGCAGAAAACATTTAAGCTATCTTGACAAACTGTGGACATGTCTCCAAGCAGTAACATTTTTGTCCCAGAGGTTTGGGATTCCGTGTAAAGTTACCCCATTAAATGTGGAGGCCAGTTTGTCTGACACAGGGAACTGTTTGAAAAGTGCTCTGATGGCACACAGTCCTTGTGACCCAGAAAGTGTTTGTAATCTTCCGACCCGTGGTCTAATAGTGTGAGCGAGAAAAAAGAAGGGGTAAGATGGGGAGCTGGGCTCGCAAGAGGAAGATTAAACAGGAGAACCTCCGATGGGGTGAGTGTCTCACAAAATAGGGCTTATGAAAGCTGGGGTCCTTCTCACCTCGCAAAAAACTCAAAAGACATGCTGGACCACCGTCACCTGGCGCCATGTGGCCCGAGGCCGGTGTCAGCCAGCATGTGCCGGTTATAACTCAGGAAACCACCTTCTGGAACCTGCGGGCCTTTTCCCACAAGCGGTGGGATCTGGGAATTATCCTTTCTGCGAGCACATTAAGCCTGGATCCCAGGAAAGTATCAGAATTCAAGAAGGTTCAGAGAGCTCCCCACTCAGGTCTCACCTAAAATCAGCTGGAATAAAATCCCGATGGAGGTCAAGAATATGGAAATGCGATGCCGAGTTCTTCCGGCCAAGAACCCTTTCAGAACCTCTCCCTCCGTCACCCACAAATACTAAGGGTGCAGTGAGCAGCTCGGAAAGATCAAAGACCTGCTTCCAAACATTCCTGACGAACCACAGGAGCCATCAAAATTCATGTATCTAAGCTCTTCAAATTGAACCAACTAACACCAAGCACCGGCTCTTCAGACTGCCCGTCGTGGGGGACCCCACCCGCATGTGCCTGGCTCCCGTCTAGTGCCATTAACGAGTACTTTGTGTATCCCAGGGCTTCTTTCTCAAAGCTTCGATTCGGAGGTACTCACAAGGGCCAGGAACGGGGGCTGTGTAAAGTGATGTGCGTGAGACGGGTCCCCGACCGGCAGCTGCTCGCAGCTGGGACGGCAGGTTCTAGAGACACCCCCGTCACACCAGTGATGGCACTGTTGTATCCCGAGCACAGGAGTTCTCACACAATGACAAAGAAGGACTCGGGGAGATGACACAGGGTCTGGACTCAGAAGGAAGAGGAGGGGCTTGGGGAGAAGAGCTTTCTCAACCGTTGCTGTGTCTCCAGGCTCCTAAGGCTGCCATTCCATTGCAGTGGCCACCACGCCTACTGGGTATGGATCATAGACATGCTGCTTGGGTAACCCAGAAAGGAAGAAGGCGGTGAGGAAACATATAATGAACCATTCCAAAGCCCTTATGTTACCTTTAAGAGCAATTCTCCCAACTTCCAGAAGACTCTAATGCATTTTTTTTTTTTGGATGCTGTCATTGACATAAAATGTTTATTTGTAACACAAATTACTTCTAGAAATTTCCAGGTTATGAGCAATCATCCAGCAAATATTGACTGTGTGCCCAAAGCACATGCCAAGTGAATGAGACATGGGCCCCATTTTCAAAACTATTGATCTCATGAGAGGAAGATCCTGACACCACCCCCCCACCAGGCTGTAGCACAAAGCAGAATGTGATTAATGTCACAGGACGTAGTTTTTAAAATAGCGTCTGACGAAGAGGGTGGAGTCATAGGAAAGGAGGATCAGAGAGGATGGCCGTAGGCACATCTCAGACTCACAAAGGAGACAGGAGCATTTGCACTGACCGTAAAGTCTGGATAGATTCATTACAGAAGACTCCGCGTGAACAAAGCATAGAGAGTGATGGCGATATGGGGTGGGACATCAAAACACTGGGAAACAGTCTTATTGAGATAGAAAGGCTCAGGTTAGTAAAATGAAGTTTAGACAAAGGGCAGTGCTAGCCTAGGCTCCATTAGTGATTTCTGAAACGGATGGTATCTGGGACCAGAAGTTCTGTGGATGTGAAGGTCAAGGTGCGGGGAGAAGGATGCAGCAGTGAGCCAAGACAAAACAGCAGCATCCCAGATGGCAGACCCAAGCTTAGGTGCTGCCCCTGACTGCTGGGGACTTCGGGCTCATGGTTTCACAAATCTAGGCCTCGGCTTCCTTGAATATAAGAGGAAAGCTTCATCTCTGCTTCTTTTCAATTCAGGTAAGAAAGTCCTGTAATAAAAATGTTGTCCAAAGCTGAAGCGATGGTGATAAGCAAGGGGGAAAAAAAGCGGCCAAAGCACATGCCAACAAGGGTGGGGCTTATCGAAGCCTTATGGTTAGCTCTGGGTGGTGGAGTTATTAGTGGCATTTGTTTTCATTCTGCTGACCTTCACTATCTTTCTTTTCTATGAATGCTACATGTGTAATAAAAATGTACAGACACACACACACACACAGATAAAACAAAAGTATTAGAATGTCAGTTTTTCAAACAACTCCAGCTACACACTCACTCTGGGGGAAAGAACATGAGCAGTGTCTCAATTACATGTTAATTTACCCAGTTATTCCCAAAAGCAACTGTGTCTGAGGAGGGTTACTGTACCTGTTCTAGTTCATACGTCCCACACCCTTGAGAGACAGGACCCCACAAGCAGTTTGTTTTTGCCATTGTTTAAAACACATTATTTTACAGACAACATGGAAATATCCTCTCCTGTCACAGGTGAATAGCATCTTGTCCCCAAACATGAGAGAGGAAAGTCTCCTAAACCGTGAAAGGGGAAATTACATCAGTTTAATAGAAGTGATGTTGCATAAAAACATTAACAGAACAGATCAACTTGAAATGCCCCAAACCGGGCAGACACAGGAGTGTCTATGGAAGCCACACAGGCTGAGAGGCTGGAAAGTTATCTCAGCTTTCCTAGAATCAAGTTATCACTTTAGAAGACTTTGTTCTCAGAAAAACCATGTCTTTGCTCCCTCCTCCGTCTTACCACCAAGCTTCCCTCCTGGAGTCCGGTGTGTATCTCTCGCCATAAGTTTAGAAGTTGAATTGACCTTGCAGCCTTCACGCCCCATAGTTGAGGTGACTGTAAACACATGAACAGCCGCAGGTGCAGGGTCGGAGAGAACATCCCGTGCCTGTTTCGCAGACGATATCTGATCTTGAGGAAAGTTCGGAAGCACTGAAACCACACACGTGAGCCAGAAGTACTCCTCCCCCCACCACACCACATTTTAGCTCTTAGAGGACTATTTCACAAAACTTAAATATTGTATCATGCTGAAACGTCCTTATTAGGACAACTTTGGCACAAAAATATGCATCCGATATTCCATAATGATTGTCTCCAAAAAAAGCAGTTTGCAGTTGACGTTTTCTGGATTGGGCCACTTAAATTTGCTTCCTCCCCATGCGAGGAAACTGGAGGGACTGGGTGGGGGTCCCAGAGTCAGGCCCTGGCAAGGAGGGTCCACCCACTGTGTGGTTCGTGTGGTTCTCCATCATCCGCACAGAAGGCTGTCAGCTGGTTCCCTCAGTGGCCCCAGCAGGGGCCACGAAAGATATGTGACAGTCATAACCCAGGTCCCAGCTTCTGGTCACAGCCCATCGCTGCCCCCCACCTCCCCGGGCCAGGCAGACCCTGAAGGTGATGCCTTCCCTCCCACAGCACCCACCGAGGCACCGGCTTTCCATGGTTTGTAGACCAACGTGGACACAGTAGGTGCCTGTTGAGTGAATAACAAAACAACTCGAGTCCACGCTAGTCCAAACTGCGATAAGAGGAAGGAGGACCCAGCAGGACTGGCTTGAGCTCCCTTCCTTCTCCCCGGGCCCCTTGAGCCCCGAGCAGCTGGCCGGGGAGGAGACATGGAGCCCGTCCTGGTCCTTGTGGGGGCCTGAGCTGGGTGCTCACTTGGGGTGACGGGACGGTGGGGGCTGGCAGGGCGCCAATCCCTGGGGAGACGTTGGGGTGCCTAACCACTAGAGACCCGGACCTGCGTGCTCGCGTTTTCTTTTGTTGATGGGACTAGCTGAACATGTGTGTCCGCACACAACACACTGAAGAGCCACAAACAAGATGGTACAGGTGCGACCCTCTTTCCTTCGGGCACAACAAAGCAGCTGGGGTTCGGTCGTTTGCAATGCTTTTCCTCAAAATCACGGTCGTTTCACCACTACCTAGATTGGTGAGATGCCGGCCCCTGTGGTTGTCTTTGTGGGAGGGAATGTTCCGGAGGCATTTCCCCGTCCACGTCTAGCGATCGCTGACGACAAGCAGGTGCCCGGAAAACTTAGAGCCAAGCAGCCGAAGGTCAAGATGTCTGCTTCCGTCGCTTCGGGTCTGTGTTTTTCCCGCTACGGGCTCTGTGTCGTTTTCTGTGTTTTTACCGCCACAAGCTCTGTGACGTTTCACGCATCAGAGCAGCCAGTATCTTCTGCATCACACCCACTGGAATCAGAAAAGTGGGCCGGTTACAAGGAAAATGGCTTCTGTCCGGACACGTTATCTACGCCAGCTTTTGGTCAGGTGACCAGGTCTGGCCCCACGTGTGCAGTTCTGTCTCCCCGGTCAGTTCATAATAGCGGACAGGGCCCCCCGTCATGATCCAAGTGTCCCTGATGCCCAGGCTCCGCGCCCGGAGCGAGCACATTTTGAGCCCCCGGGAACCGACCCGCAGAACACGTGTTCTTCCTGGACCCGGTAGGAACCGGCTTCTTCACGCGTGCCCGCAGGGGACGTGTGGGCTGCACCGTCCATTGGCCCCTTGGGTGTCACGACGCCTCCCTGACTCTGTGTTTTCCGCTCCAGGCCTACATGGAGGACCACCTGAAGAACAAGAACCGCCTGGAGAAGGAGTGGGAGGCGCTGTGTGCCTACCAGGCGGAGCCCAACAGCTCGCTCGTGGCCCAGAGGGCGGAGAACGCACACAAGAACCGCTCTCCGGCAGTGCTGACCTGTACGTAGCCGCCCGGGGGCCCCGGCCAAGGGAGGGCGGCCCTCAGTGACGGGTGGGCTGGGCTGCCCCCGCCTGCCGTCTCCTCATTTTCCTGCCGTCCCCACCCCCGGTGCCCGGCCGGCGAACACACCACCCCTGGGAAGCCGCCCCCAGCCTGAAAACGGGGTCAGTTCCTTCCTTTGTGCTCCAGCGGCACGGTCCCGGGTTGGGGACGGCTGTGCCCCGACCGGCGCTTGCTCTGTTGGCCGTTACCGTGCAACTTGAGACTCGTTTCTTAGCTGCTGCGAACCTCTTCCTCGTCTGTAATCGGGGTCGTACTGTCTTCCTTGGAATCGCCAAGCCCCGAGGGCGGTTAGCATAGCGGCTGCCACGTCGTGGGCAGGACGTGAGCGCTGGTCGGTGCCACGGCAGTCTTCCCGCCTGACGCTCGGGTCAACAGGCGTCGCCAAGGGCCGACTCTGGCCGGGAATCACCGCCAGAAAGCAGCGACACAAAGAGACCAGTTCCGCAAAGCAATTTGCGCCGAGTAGGAGACAAAGTTACGTCAGGGGTTGAGTGTGTTAGCAGTGACCTACAGAAGGAGAGGCCGCAGAGGACGTGATCAAACAAACCCGCCTGGCGGGGCTCCTTTTCTTGCGTCACTTAACAGGTGCGTCAACCTCCTGTGTTCTAGCATGTTCCAGGCCAGGGTTGCGCTCTGATTCACGTATGAACCCGCCCTGCACGGAGGAGAGAGGAGAGGGATCGGAGGTGCGTTTGTGACCAAAGTGCCTTACACGAACAGACCCTCACTGAACACTGATCCGTTAAGAGCAAATGTGTGCACAGAGTTACTATCTTAGTATCTGCAGACGAGGGGTCCTTGCACGTACGGCCAACATGATAAAATGTCGTCGGCTGACATTTTTGAGGGCACAGCAAAGCCACACCCTCAGCAAAATCGGCGTCCACGGTGGGGACAGCCGCCCCCCACCACCACCACCACCACCACCACCGTGTCCCAGACCCCGGGTCCCAGCCCTTTGGAGCCCATGATGCAGCCTGGTGGCGTGCCCACGGGCCGTCCCCTGCCGGGCCCCCTCGCCTGGCCCAGTAGATGCCTCGGGAGTAGATGCCTCGGGAGATGCTCAGATGTAAATGGCAGTGATCTGATCTGAGTTTACGAGTCAGAAAGATTAAAAGCTGGCATCTCGTGTCGCCTTAGACGCTGACGACAGCGTCACAGACCCTCGAAATCTGAACGCGCTTCTGGGTGTGATGTTTTCTAACAGGTCAGTGAGGGCTCAGGCTAGGCCCTCTGTCTCCGTGAGGTCTGAGGAGTTTTTCCCTGAAGGGCTTTAATAGGAGAAGAGCTTTTGTCATCTATGTGTTTTATATTTAGAAGAAAAGAAAAAAAAAAAAAGCCGTTGACTAACACATTTATTAAGTACCTACTGCGTGCCAGGCTGCTGCCAGATACGGGGCCACGCGAGGATCTAACGTGGCCGCTGTGCTCAGGGCCTAGATGGGGAGTCCAGGAGGCTTCTGCCTGTACCTGGAACACTTAGCTGTTTGGGGCCGACACTCAGCAAACTGGGACGGAACGCGTCCCTGGGTCTGGTCGCTTACGTGGACTATCAGGTCCCTTGTGGTAAAGACCAAAGCATCTCCCTCCAGCACCCCTCCGGACCACGGTAGGTGCCCCACGCTATCCCTGTGGCCACAGGCCAGGACCTTAGCGATGGTAGCACGTCCTGTCCCAAGGTCCTGGTGCCCCTGATGTCCGCCCTTCTTGGATCAGGCGCTGGGGGGCAGGCGGCCGGTGCCCCTGCCCCAGCAGCCTGGCCGGGTGCTCTTGGCTGTCTGGGGTCACGAAGGGGCAGCTGTGCTGGTCACGGATGGCAGGGCAGGGCAAGCACACTGACACAGGAGCATTTTCGTGGGTGACCCGGGGACCCCACTGTCCCCCACACTTGCGGCCTCCTTCACGTGTAGAGGGAAATCCTACCAGCAGATTTCGGCCCTCGGCCCTCCCTGAGCAGGATGGGGACGGCACGGCTTACGCTCTCCTCGGTCCTGCCAGACTCCACCAGAGACGAGTACCCCGCGTCCTGTTGGTGAGCGTGCACGGCCCGCACGGCACAGAATCGGCCCCGTGGTGGAACCGCAAGGTGCTGGGCAAGTGGCTGGTGGTGTCTGTGAAAAGGCGGCCGGCGCCCGTGAGCGCAGAAGGCACCCTCCCCGGCACGCGGAGTGCTCTGGGCCTGCGGCGGCGGGTGGGAGCCTCGGCCGGCTTCCCCGGTGTCTCCCACCCCGCTCCCCCGTTGCCTGGTTTGACGGGTTCCTGGGTGCGCCTGGCGGGACCCCGCGGCCCGGGCCTCCCGTCCACGCAGACGGTCCTCCATCCGGGAGATGGGACTCGTGACGTCCGTGATGCGCACCAGTCCGCGCCCACGGGGTTTACCAGCTGGACTCCGGGGCTTCCCAGGGCCTGTGATGCCCACACTCCCCGCGCCCTCTGCCCTCCGCCCTCCTGCGCGCCCTTGCTCGTCTGGGGCCCGTCTGAGGGCGTCCCCTGCTCCCACACCGGGGCTTCTAGCGGAGGCTGGCAGGTCCCGTGGGAAATTCAGAAGTGGCTCCGATATCCATTTTCCATCCCTGACAGCCTGGAGCTGTGTTTCCAAGGATGATTTAGGAACAGATGAACCGGCTTTGTCTGTGCTCCGTCATCTTACAAGTTTGAAGAATTTAATATGCTTCCTAAATGTATTTGTATTTTTAGGGGGAATTATGCAATATTCTGCTCATCTGCTTTTTAAATTAAGAACAGGAATATGATGCTATTTTGGCATACCGTCTTAAACAACAACAAAAAAAAAATGCTTTCGATTCTGTGTCACAAAAACAAGGAAGAGATTAGATGGAGACAAAGAACACTTAGAGGTGAAACCAGAGAGAACAGCCCAGGGCCCAGATACCCAGCGACCGAGCGAAAGGCCCTCAATGGAACATTCTCACAGTCTGGCTTTTCGGGGCTTTGTCGTGAAAGAGATCACAGCTCAGCTCTGGAGCCAGGGTGCAGCCGCGGGCGCCCCTGCCTTGCCTCGCGGACCTGGCCAGGTGGGGATGACGGCTGACCTTGCCTGGCTGTCCCCCACGGTCAGGGCACCTGATGGCACCAGGCCACAGCTGAGCGCACGAAGCCGCCCCCCGCCCCATCGCCTCTAGTCCCCCCCCGGGAACCAGCCCTGCACTTGCCAGATGAGGGCACTGGGGCTCAAACCCATACCCTCTGCTGGTGGGAATGCCCACATATGCTTGTGCACGAGCCTGACATTTTCTGTGTCAGAAAAATGGCCACAAATTTCAAACGTCCCCAGAGATGAATATTTGAAATACATACAAGAACTGTGGTACTTTGGCTAAGCGTTGCTGTCCTTAAAACAACACCCAGAAAATAATTTCTTTCCAAACAACTGTTTGGTTTAAATTGGTTTTTCTGAACTCTAAGCAGGCTCCCCATAGAAGAATACTCTGGGCTGGGCACTTCTGAGCCACCCAGACCTGCCCCGATCTGCCCGTAAGCACTGGTCCTGGGCGAGACTCCTAAATCTGGTAAGCAAGCGGGATCTGTCCTCCTCTGGCGTGAGAAGGGTCTGCACGCGTCTCACCTCCATGAGGAAGTTATGGGTCCAGAGAAGCACCGGGCGTGGCTGCTGTGTTCCGGTCTCGGAGCCGTCCGGATCTCTGCCTCCAGATGCGGGGAGGCCGTGGGTTTGTTGATGTCGACAAGGAAGTATCCCAGCGAATTCCGTGTGGGCTTTCTCGTGGCTGCACCACGCAGAAGCTGTCCCCGCGGCCACGCTGCCTGAGACCGGAGGGGGGGTGGTGTTTCTACGGGAAGTCGGGAAGAGGCAAACGCGGCGTTTCAGGAGCAGGAGTCCTTCTCGACGGGCCACGTCCCGAGGGCACCTGGAAGCGGCATCCTTACGCGGTCACGGCACAGACCCCGCCACCAGCCCCTCGGGGTTCCAAGGGCGTTGACTGTTGGCACAATTTAGCCACTCGGGGCTCAGATGTTCTGTCATCTTTACCCCTTTCCACCAGCTGGGCCACAGGTTCGGGAGACCCCCTACGGCGTGGCTGTGTCCACCCCAGCATTCCCTTCACGGGGCTACTCACGAGCCTTGACGCTGTGGGGGCCCTGAGGCCGCCGCCCGCTGGGCCTGACCCCTCCAGACGGGCTCCGGTCTCTTTGGCCAGAGCGATCCGGTGGCCCTTCAGAGGGCGTGGGCGCACCCCTCCCCGCCCTGGGCACGCCGCCGTCTGCTGCAATCTCACATTCACTGCGCTGCAGGCCCGTCACAAGCCACGAGGTCCGCTCGTCTTGGGGTCGCCATCGGCTGAAGTCCGGGGGCCCCTTCTGTCCCCCGGGATCCCGGTCCCCACACCCTCACACAGGTGCCTGAGAGGTGCTTCACATCCGTCCTCATTCGAAGTCATGAAGATCTGGATTCCTGGTTCAGTGTAGCGCCTCCGTCTGTCGCCAAGCCACCTGTACCTGTTATGAACGGGACTTCTGCGTCTTCAAGTTTTCCAGAGAAATACATCCGACAGGGTCGTTGCGGGGCCCTGTTCCCCCGAGCCTCCCGCACGTGGGCACAGACCCGTGCGGGGACATCGGTGGCTGTTCGTCAGCTGAGGCTTGGCCAACAGCCCTGCTGTACGGCCCGGATGGGGAGGGCGTCCTCTCGGCCCCGGTCACCTCCAGATGCTTGTCAAGCGTTCTCGTGCCAGACCCGGGGGCAGATGCCACAGATGCCGTATCTCTGTTGACCCTGACGGACTCGGGTTCTGTCTTCCCCGTCGCCCGTAGAAGCGCCAGCCCTTAAGGCCAAGCGGTTAGGCTCAGGCCGCCCTCCTGACCCTGGGGAGGACGGGCCAGCAGTGAGATCCCACCGGAGGGGCTCCCGCGCGGGCCCGCCCAGGAGCCCCTCGCGAAGACGAAATGTGACCAGCCT